GATTGACGTGATTTTTTCAATGCAGATAGTTGGATATATTACCGCGGAAGAATTTCTCACTCCTACGGGAAAACACGTCATAATACAAACCAAAAAAAAATTATTATTAGAATGACTGAAACTTGACACTTGGTATTAATGCTTATCAATAAAATTAAAAAAATAAGTGTTTTAGCCATTTTTCGAAATTCATTCTATAAGGGCTATATATAGGAAACGAAAGTTTGTATGGAATCTTTTTACAGTTTTTTTGTGGTGTTAGCGCGAGTGAAGCCGCAGGTTCTGCTAGTACATTAATAAACGAATGTAATAATTGGGTATTTCAATGTTATTTAAAGTGCTATGCTAATAGTTAGAACCATACATATTTCATTCTAAGGTTCGGAAAAAGTGTCATATAATGGTTTTCTAAAAATCAAGCCATAATTGCTATGTAAAAGAGTAATAAAACTGGCCAATATATTCGCCATATTTGCTTTATGTTTACGACGTACGTTTATATGCTTTTATATAACATTCAAATACTTATACGTAATTTATTATAAGCTTAGTCGTTCACAGTTCACAGTCAGCGTATAGTGATTTTTACTCTTCACTAGCGACTTGCCCTTGTTTCGCTCGGGTCTCGTCCCTAGGACGTTTTAATTGTTTTGAGCAGAACCCAAATTATTTCTCTAAAATAAAAAAGTAGTTTTGGACTTATTTTGACAGGGAGATTAGCGGAAAAAAACAGACAGACGGACAAACCAAAATATTAAAAATTGTGTTTTTTTATAATTACCGTATATAATTTCATATGCATTTAGTAAAAAGTTGTTATTTTAACATTAGAAACAGATACTTCAATTTTATTTATCTGTTTAGATATAAGAAAAATGTATGATTCTGTAATATGTACTATATACACTATGTTTCTTAGAGAAATAGTATAAGGACATAGTAAACTAAATTATTATATATGACAAATTACCCTTAACATTCTTCTTTTCTATGTTTTTATAGATTTTTATGAAACAACTAGTAAAATATATTATTATCGTTTTCTTGTTATCAAGTCTATAACTATTTTGGAAAAAAATGACTAAACAGCATGATATTTAATAGGAAAATCATTCCCAAGGTGCGTTATATTCTAAGAAATCATATATTTTGAATTAATATTTAACACATGAGCTTTTTCGTACATCTCTTTTAATCTATGCACAGAATATTTCTGATCGTTGTCTGGAAGCCTGTGGTAAAAATGTATAGAACGTTATTAATAAAGCTGTTTGCATTTCATCTCCTTCCTAATAATTAATATATTGTAATATTTTACCCTGGGCTTTAAATGCCAGCTGTGCAAGCATCCTCATTTAGTTCAAATATTATGGTTATAAGTCAACCAAAAACGTGTATCATAAAATTATGAACCACATAAATTATGTACGTCGATTTTTGAGAATAATAAGTGTGTAAGATAAATAATTGTAAGAGAAATAATAATAAATGTTCAAGCTGGGCGAAGAAGTATATTACCGTTTAGTATAGATTCCTCAGAAGTGAGATATTTTTCGCATTAAAAAGTATCTTATATGTTGATCCAAATAACCAGCCATCATCATACCAAATTTCATCAAAATCAGAAATATTTAATGTACAGAATCGACTCAGAATTTTATTTTATTATACGTATAGATAGATAGAAGTCATTATGACTAAAGGAACCTAATGGTTTTTAGAATTTTTGTTTATGTGTTTAGTGGCGCATCAATCAATCTAAATGGATGGTAAGTGGGTATTCTATAATAAGCATGTAACACTGTAAATTAAACGAAAACGTAAGCCGATTCCCAAATCACTTTAAAATTCGTTGTTCTTCCCTCGGTATTTTTATTTCTATTTTTTCGTATGACATATTCATTAAAACAAAAAAAAATATTACATTAAAAAAGGGAATATCTATTCGGTTCATAATTAGCGAGAAATCTGTACTAGTAACTGTACAATAGTCTGTGGTAATCAAAAATACGTAGAAAATTATTTAAAAAAAAATTGTTACCGGAAGGTGTTCGAATCACCTTTTTGAAGTCAAAATACATCAAAATCCAATCATTGCAAACCTAATGACAGGACGAAATGGGGTCATAAAAAGTGAATCACAGCATGACGGCTCATGCTTACAAATGTTGACATACATAATTTTTACCTCACCTCATGTTTTTGTTTTACAATCGATCGTTAGCAATCATTTTCGTAGCTTTTAAATAATCAAATAGTATTTTTTAAAATGATTTTACTAATTGTGCGTAAAAATTTGATTGCAAAAAATTTTTTTCATCAATTTTACGGTTATTAATCCTATGTTCGTAGGAGGCTAATAGTAGCTTATACTATGTTACTCCAAGATCATAGAGTTTCATTCATCATAGATCATTCATCCAAGATCTTTCTATTAAATTTCATGCAAATCTGTCCAACTTTTGATTTATTTATTTATTTTATTTATTTGAATTACCAACAAAAGTTACAATAAATTACATATAAAAAATTCATTACTCATTTAAGGAAAGAATATAATATTATATTCAATCCAGGACCGCGGACACGCCGGCGTGTCAGTTAACAATAGATTTCTTAGAATTTTTGTTTGTCGGACAATAACAACGGCTGCCACGGCAAGATACACTTATCAGTGCGTGTGCGTGGGCATTGTAAAAATTTTACTCTCATATTTTTTCCAAACGTCCGAAAAGGAATATATCTTCAAAAATCATATTTAAAAAAATTGTTATCCTTCGCAACCTTAACAAAACTATTTTATTTACTATTTAGGCTTTCAAAAACAGACAATATTTATTTGCGTTGTACATTCATCATAACATTTCTCATTCAGGAGATTAGAAGAAAAGAGGTTGTGACTGACGGAGTGGCAGAAATGAGTGATCTAATGAATGTTCTGTTTTTTCATCGGATTTATTAAGTCGGCCAAGTAAAAGATATAACCAAGATATTTTTAAACATAGTTTATAAGGGAGGGATGTTTGGGATTTAATAGAAGCTATTTCAATAATGGTATTTTTTGTATCATTTTTAGCGTAAGTGACTACGAAACGACGAAAGTTAGATATACCATACCAGGGTCGATAATTTTTGAAATTAAAAAAATTATAGTAGGGTGAAACCCATTGGAAAAGGAAGAGAATATAACAAAAATGAAAGGAAAAATAATTTACCGGCGATCTGAGGTCGCGAAGTGGGAGGGAGTGAGTTTTTAAGAGTAAAAAACGGTTTATCTTCATTACCGGCAAAACTACAAGTCCTATGGAAAAAGTTAAATCGCAAAGTTGTAGGTAATAAAAAAATCTACAACTTTTGTTAATGCAAAGAGTATAGGCCAGACTCCGTCCTGCCGGTCTTGCGCCTTAATTCTCACTGATTGTGTCCGAAGTATCGTCTTATCTGACTTTGAGATTAAAAGTAATATAGTGCTTTTGTGTTTACGCGCACGCTTGTGCACTATAATATCTCGTGCAAATAGACTAGTCTCAGTTAGATTGGTCGCTATAGACAAAATCGGTCAGAAGAAAATCATAATATAAAAAAAATATATAAACGTCGAATATAATATAACATAACCTTCTTTTGAAAACAAGCGACGCCGAAAGTACTACTCTAGCGGTAAATAATAAATTTTCGCATAGTGGAGAGTGTGTAACGTCTTAACATCAAACATAGTAATTTAAAATGACGCATCTGGAGCACACTTTATACATCTCAAGACACCTGTTGTCAACACATGACAATTAACGACAAGAACACTTAATCGTAAATCCCCGCGAGTAAGAAAGGAACAAAACGTTGTCCAGAAATAAATTGAAATTACTGAAAAAGTTTCGAATTTTCGTATACCTACTAGAATGTTCTTTTTTATACTTTAGGCATATAAAGAGGGCGGCATTTTGTCGAAAATTCAGTTGAATTTTGGAGATAAGAGGAGATTAGGAGGTAATACAAAAAAAAGTGAAAAAGTGAGGAAAAGTGGAGTCAAGTCATAGTGCAAGTGGAAAATAGTACTTGGAGACCGAATTAAGCCAAAACTGTGCATATACTGCATGTGTTTGTGAACCGCCATAAGTGACTCTGTGTACTAAAAGCAATAAAACGTCTATAGTGCAGAAGATGTACTTTAATTTACGTTCTCAGAACACCTAGAACGTAACAATATGATAAACACAACACAACAATATCCAATTTACATGAACAGTCACGTCAGGAATCCGTAACATTCCCCACGTATATTGATATATATTGGATGGTAAGCATAAATTACGCTTACTAATATAACAATGTCAGATATCTGACATCGTCAGGAATGGGAGATAATAATTTTGTAATGTAATTTAAAATTAAACATGCACAAAACTGGGTTTATTTATTTATTGGTAATCTTACAGCGTTACAAAATAAAATACAGTTTGACCACAAAGTTATTAACAAATATGGCCAAATTTAGATTACTCTATTATGATATCTTGTGTAATGGACAACAGAGTACTCATATATTGAAAAAAGGAAACAGAAAAAAATGAAATGGGTTGAAATTTTGTTGTACAAATATGTATACTTTGTAATTTTTTATTACTATAACTTTTACTGCGTTGTTTTATTATTGTTGCCTGATTATTATTTATTGTTTTTTAATTTGTCAATTAATGGATAACTTTATTGAATTTTTGTACTTATCTTTTGTTTTTTCTTCTTTGTGCTGTGTTATCTTTAAGTGCACACGGAAATGTTGACTTGAGTATAACAAGTTTTCATCTCGGAAGGTATTTATATTTTCAGATGTATGTATGTCTTTTTCAGTTTGTTTTTTCAGTTAGATTTGACCAAAACATTAAACCGAATCATCAATAGAGCTCGCTCAAAGACAATGGAAAAAGAAGGAAGACCCTTACGCAAGTGAAACCACGGGCAGAATATAGTATTTTAATGATATATCAAAAATAAAAACTTACCAAGTTCTAGCGACCGGTGCGTGGCATACGTATATGTACCTCTGGACGGCGAGCGCAAGAGTTAGCCAGATACTAGCTGTGTGGAACATTGCTGGGATTACCTGTTAAACAAAATATATATTAGGAGTAACATTTTGATCTAGGTGGATAAAAAAAGATTTTATTCTCCCTTCTCGTTTAGCTCAGTTTGTAGCGACTACTTGCTGTGCCAGCGGTCGCGGGTTCGAGTCCCGCAAGGGGCAGTCATTTGTGTGATGAGCACGAATGCTTGTACTCCAGTCAAGGGTATTTATATTTATAATATGTATGTATTTAATAAGTTACATATGTGTAGTTTATCAACTATCCGGTATCCATAACACAAGCCTCGTAGCTTACCATGTAACTAGATGGTTTCGTGTGTTAATGTCCTAACACATTTTTTGTTTATATATGTACATCAGTTTTCAATAAGAGATTGATAAATCATACTCAGAGTCTAATATAGGTTATGAATGTAAAAATATATTACATTATTGTGATATTATTACGGAAACAACAGTTGTTTTTTATTGTGAACACAGGTTTCGTCTCGATTTCCCTATCCAATATCGAGATAAGCCCAGCTTTAGCCAAATCCGGACATATATTGTATATATATACGGCATACGAGTATATGTATAAATAAATGGAACATTCATCCGCCAGATATTCCAAAATTGTAGCCTTCGGTATAGAAGGCGGACCCAATAAGATTCTCGTAGTTGCAGTGGACCACAGTAGAAATTTTAACTCCAATCCAAATTTCGATTAATTTCATTAATACTACATAGATATCTGCATATGAGATAATGTGGTGCGCAAATATGAGAACTCTTTTCAAGAGAAAGATCAGGCAAATAAATCTTAACATTGTCAATTTTCCTACTCCGGCCTGATGTTCACCCGACTCGGGAATCAAATTCTAGACCTCAGGATTTACAGCTTAATTTTTATCAACCTATATTTTTTGTTTTGTGTTTTGGGCTTGGACTGTAATACATATATTACAATGTTACAGTAAAATAATGAACAGATGTAATCAATAAAATGTCGCCATTGAATATATGTATTTAATATCAAACATCACTATGGGATTATAGTCTAAGATCCGAAGTGCGAACCCATCTATAGCATGTATATTAATTTTGTTCTCATATAGTAAGCAAAGCAGTGAAAAATCATCTTAAAATGGGATATATATACATATAAACAGGCAGAGACAAAACAGTTCATTACCTTTTTCTTCTCTGTTTTTTTTTGTTTAATTTTCTTGTTTTTTTTAGTATCCATCGACAAGCCTTAGTGTTATCAAAAAAAAAGTTATTTTATATAATAATTATCTTATAATTTCGACAATTGGGCGGACATTACTTAAGGTAAATACATTTATAAGGAGTTTTGTGTATTCAGAAAACATTTTTACAAATAAACTCTTCAATATTCATTATTAGGCTCATTAAAACTCAATTTGACTCTTTAAAGGATCCTTTATATTAATTAGAACGTACATTAACAGACAATTAATTCGTTAGAATTTCATAAGTCGAGACAGCTTTGAATAAACAAATTAATATCAAACTAGGGAGATTTCAAAATATCCCGAGGCCTTATAAGCAAACTAAATAGATACGGCCCAAGGAAAGTGTAATTATATTTTATTGTACATTAATTATTGTTTTATTAACCGACTCTGCTAAAAAGAGGGTGTAATCAACTTTTTATGTACATATTACGCGATAATTTTTCCAATAGTTAACCTTTTCTTATGGATGTTGAATATGCCATATATTTAGTACATCAAGGATGGTTATGTACATTCAACAAAAATGTCAAAGCTGAAATATTTTTTCTATTCTTAATATTATAAAGAGGATATTTGTTTGTATCGAATAGGCTCCGAAGCTACTAAACCGGTTTAGATGAGATTTGGTAAGAAGATAGTTTGAGACCCCGGAAAGGACATACGGTAGTTTTTATCGCGGAAATCATCCCTTAAGGGTTGAAAATAGGTGTGAAAGTTTGTATGGGAAAGCATAATTATATGGGACCACCTGGGAAGTACACCCTTCGATACAAAAAAAAATATTCCAAATCGGTTCAGGCGTCTTCGTGTACCTAATCATTGAACGTACATAAAAAAAAGATTCTGACGAATTGAAAACCTCCTCCTTTTTAGAATTCGGTTAAAAAGTAATTAAATATGACTTGTATTGTGACGGGAAAAATATATTTGTTGAAAAGACGAACGATATCGATAGTAATAAAAAAGATAATTATTATTTGAGTCCTTCCTTCTTTATGAAGTTGGTCAAAGAATAAAAAAAATGGTGTCCTTTTAATTATTTTAATAGTAAAATATAAGCCTTAGTTAAAGCTTTTGGCAATCATATTTATATATACATATATAAATAGGCAAAAACCTCTGTTTGTCAACTGATTTTCTTTTTTTTTGTTTATTTAGCTTTAGTATTATCAATAAAAAAATGTTTTTTTTTTATATAGATATTAGAATTATGTAAATTCTATTCTTATATGTTATCCTGAAAATTTCAATATTCATTGAAATAGATTATCATTAGATTATGGTCGAATTTCGGCCACTGAGCGGACACTAGTTTATACAAATATAAGTACAAGTTTTCTATTTATAGCAAAATCATTTACATAATGTCAATTCGGTATTCTTCTATACATATAATAAAATTGTAACTAAGTCTAATCTGTACATTAAAGATTTTTTGAAAAATATTATTGAAATAGACATAATTATCGATACAGACGCCGAATCTATAGTCTTTTAATTTCCGTCTGTCTGTCTGTGACCGCATCACGTAAAAACCACTGGTGGGATTTTGATGAAATTTGGTATGATGATAGCTGGTTATCCGGGTCATCATATAGGATTCTTTTCACTGCGGGAAAATATCTATGAGATATCTATACTAAACGTTAAAACGTAAGTAGGGATGAACTCGAGCGGAGCGAGGGTGGGTCGCTAGTATTATATAGTCTTATAATACTTTAGCCAGACTTTATTAGCTTCACATTTACATAATTACAAAACATAGAATTGAGTATGTCTAGAAAATCGATTGTAACCTAGTTCTAACTGACGTATCGATTTGACTGCGAATGTTATTCGGATGACAAATGCAATATTGTGGTGTGACTGAGCTGGATGATGATAGACGAGAGATTGATGGTGGAAATAGTAAATCAAATCGTACTACTAACATAAATGCAAAAGTTTGTATGTATGTATTTGTTACTTCCTCACTGAAACGGCTGAATGGATTTGGATGAATTTAAGTACACATAGATATATAAGTACAGATAGATTATGAGTTGTAGTAAATTTAATACGTAGGCTGTTTAAAATCTGAGCAAAGTGAAGAAGTCGCTTATCTACACTTATATTATTTTCTTAATTTTTTTAAGTTCGTTAGTTTGAACGTCGGGGTAAATTTTAAAAATTCTTTAACTCATATTAAGTTACATACATTTCTATTTTGCTATAGGCTATTTTTGATTCTTATAAAAATGTGTTTACAGGCAGAAATCGTGTTAACTTTCATTGAAGTCGGATAAAAGCTGATCATTGAGTTGTTTCATCTGTCTACACGGTTTGAAATTGAGCCATAAATTACGAGTCTAATATGGCAAAAAGAATATGAAGGCATTCAAGCGAAGTGAGGATAAGTCACTAGTATCCGATAAAGACACACAGACAGTAGCAGCCCACTGGCTTAAAAAAACAAAAGAAGCTGATTCGAATCCCGGGTTTAACACGTATGATATTTTCAAATGCGAATCATTTCCAACATGATTACCAGTTACCACTTATCTTACAGTGAAGGAAACATCATAAGGAAGCCTGCATGTCTGAGATAACCTAGCACGTTTTGAAAGATATTATGTGAAGACCTCCAACCCGCACTAGGCCAGCGTTGTGGACTATAGCTTGATTATACCTATGGTCCTCGTATTGAATTAAGTGCCCAGCAATGGGTCGTTAAAAAGGGCTGATTAAATACAAACTTATTTATATAAAAAATATATAAAGGTAACATTGAATTTATTTTTATCTACAAAGTTAAGTCCATTGGAAATATGCAAATTTATTTAGTTTGTGTAACAACTGTCCAACACACATATTCTACTTCAAAGTGACTTTAAACGTAAGTACGAGTATGTATATAGTATATACTCTTATATGAAAAGCGGATGAGTCAGTACTTAGGCTTATTACATTCTCTCAAGTTATATATAATATTTATATATATATATATATATATATATATATATATATATCATCTTGGAAAAGAATGGGAAAAATCTAATTCCAGAGTCAGCCTTTTTTCCTTATAACTTGTAGCTGGCAATGCGTTATTGTGGCTTGGAAATCTGATCTCTTTTTACAAAGGATATTGCACAAGGATTCATCCATAATTCTTTTTACTCTTAAAATACCTTGTTGATTTTTAACGTTTTGTTTGATTAATATAAAAAAAAAACAAAATGGTTGTGTCGAATTTACTTTGTTAATGTAAAAAAGAAAAACTCTACTCTGTTTCTGTATAATGAAACACTGAAATTTACTGAATGAACAGTATTTTTGGCAAGACATTAGGTTTAAAACTCGAGTGAAACCGTTTCTCAGCACTTGCGCGTAAACTCCGCCACTCTTGCTGTTAGGAAAGTTAGACACCTACCGACTGAAGACTGTTCAACTTGTATAGTTTATTTATTTTTCTTTTTTTAATTAGACAGCAACGAAAAATTAAAAAAAACCACTGTTGAGTTATTCGCTGGCTCTTCTCAGTAGGACTGTGATCTGAGCCGGCGCGGTGCTTCCTGACTGACTGACAATAGCTCTATAAATTATAGTCCTCTAAATTAAATAGACCATTCAAAAGTGCTAAGTAACATTTACTTAAATGAAGCAATTTTTTCATTGGTTGCTAGTTATAGCAAGCAAGCATAGTTGGATAATGCAAAAATAATCTCTATACTATTACAATGCTCAAATACTTATATATAATTAAGTGTATAAATCATAGCGACTGATTCATATATTTTT